ATGGCCAGCGTTTCCACTTGACAGGGGTAGCAAACATCCATAAATTTACAACGCACTATGCCAGTTACTATCTCGGTGTAAACGAGGCATAGTCGCATCTCGTGATGCAGTGTAGCGAAAATTTATTCGATTTTGAATCGATTGTTGTAGTGGTTAATAAATGTTTAAGTGTTGGTTGAGTGATGAATTGCTATCGAAACTGGGATTGATGTTTAATTTTCATTTTAGAACTACGTCTGAAATTTCTCACAACTATCGATACAGTTCCAGAATTAATTTAATATTGATTGATTTAATGCACAATTTTCTTCATGTTAAATCAACAGCTAGGCCGGCTCGACCGGAGTGCTACCACGGCCTCACAAAAGACCAACGTTAAACAACGCTTGCGTTGTGTTTCGTTGTGTGAGTGAGGTTACCGGAGGCCCAATTACCTCTCCCCCATTTCCCAATCCATGAATCCCCAACAATCCTCAAATTCCTAATCCCAACAGGCCGGTAACGCACTTGTAACGCTTCTGGTATTCCAGGTGTCCATGGGCGACACCGATTGCTTATCATCAGGTGACCCGCTTGTTCATTTACTGGTTTATCCCATAAAAAATAGATATATGCGTTAATGATGCCACCGGCGTGTTATCGAAGTAAAAATCCCTCCTAGTTCAGCATATAGCCATGGCAGACGTGTCTTTTAACACGTTCCGATTGCCGGATAACTGGCGCCCTGTACCTACGGCGCAGTGTCATTGAACTGCCATGCACTGTAGCTTTCTCACGTACCGGCGTAATTTGTATACACCTCGTCACCGGGTACCCGGTACCGGCTACCTGGCAACCGGGATGTGTGTAAAGGCACTAACGCTTTTTGAAAGTTTCCCCCGAACACAAAAAAGGCGAAAGAATGTTTTAAGCATCGTTGCACTCATAAACAAACGTCTTTCATCTCACTAACAGTTTCTACGTAATACACAGCAACGGCTGACAGTTTAAAACAAAGCAGAATTACTCGTATTTTTAACGATATACGATCCTTTTTTGTACGAACAATTCCAGTACGAAGTGACGTTTGTGGAGATAGACATGTTATAAAAATATTTCCTTTTTCCCACAAACTATGTGAGTTTTGGGTAGTCAGATGTGTAACGTTTTCGTTTTACTGTTTTGCGGTTGCATTATGTATTTAAGTTAGGAAGAGGAATTTGTAGTGTTGTGCAAAAGTTGGTTGAAGGGTACTTAAAAGTATTTTTGGCATATTTAAAAGTACTTTTTCTTTTATAAATGTAAAATCTATAATAAATTTTCTACTATACGTAATTTTTCTTTACTATCATCGTAGTTACCTAGGAACATAATTTTTACCTTACATTCTCTGCCCGATAAAATAGTCCAGTCAAATTGGTAAAAGTGTGTAATACAAATATAGAACCTAAACAACAATTCCTCTTTTGAAAAATAATATTTTTATTAAAAATCTTAACGCGAAAAGCACTCAACTAATAGACACTCAATGAAAAATTTTCAAACGCCAAGATTGAAAAGAAAAATGGCAGGGAAACAAATGATAAACAGCCTCGAACAGCAACAATTAACAGCCAGTTATTATACACAACAAAACAGCATTGTATCTTTAGAAATGTACCTCAATAACATACGATTGATCATTCAAAAAGAACGGCCAGGTATTCGGCCGCCCTGTTAGTAGTAAACAATCGGTGAGTTATTATCAGTCGCGCGCAGGCGTTCACTTCTATTCACTGACGCAGGGGCAATATAAAAAGAAAAATAATGTTCACCTGTGCTATTATTGTTGTGGTGAAAATATGAATTATTCAAAAGGTAAGCGCCAAACGCCAGTGATTTGTACCCGAGGTTTTTGTTCCTTCAGAAAAAAATCGCATGGTTTTCCAGCGAATTTTTTGAGGCTCTACCAACCTATAGAGATTTTTCTTTTGTATTCTTTTTTTCGAAAGCCAATGCAGAGATTTGTTAACGAACCGGACTGGCGATACTGTTCGGAATTTGAATTTTCGTATGGTCTTCTATGTATTATTTTTCCAGTGCCTATGATTTTTTTTTTTGTTAATCCTGGCGCTGTTTTATAAGTTGAGGTCATTAGCGAAATATTTCTAAAGCGGTCTAGTTTACACTTCAGGCTCTAAATTTGATTATCAAGACGTTACTTTCTGCGCATGTTGGTTGAAAATAAGTATTTTGATTCCAAGTTTTTTTTACTTTGTCCCCAATCGGTCACCGGTGACCATTTTTCACCAACTACATTATAGACCTTATTTCTAATATTTAGAGACGACTCTTATATGAACAAATTTTGGTGATTTATATCAAGTGATTAAGAACAAGAGTCTTAGTTTTGCTGTGACAAGCTCTGTACCTATTCTGAACTGTTACTTTTCTTGGCCAGAATATACATTGTTCTATTCAAAAACATCCCTACAGTAAAAATTAAGTTTTCAAAGGGATAATACACACAATAGTCTGGTTGTCACTATACAATTACACATACATACTTAATTTATATTCTTTTGTATTTGTTACACAGAGGCATTAATTAGTTTTTTTTTCACACGGCCCACCTGATGGTAAGCGGTTACCGTGGCCTATATACGCCTGAAACACTTGGGGCATTACATGCGTCTTGCCGACCCTTAAGAAACTTATTCACTCCCCATGTTGTAGCCCACTGGGATTGTAGTGTTGTGTAGTGGAACAGTTGTACTGGAAATGTAGACGTTTTTAATACCACACAGTTATCAATTATGACGTCAATGCATTGAATTTGAATGTCAAATAGCGGAACTTATGAAGAGGTGATTTAATAAATAAAAAACAAAGCATACAATTATTACCTTCTTTATTTTTTTCCGTTTATTTTACCAATACATTAATAGCTAGAATTATGTCCAATTTAATGCACAGTTAGGTGAATATATTGTAGTTAGGAATGTGGGAGATTTAAGTTACAAGTTCATATCAAATAAGGAATGTCTTTCAATCGAAACGTACATAGAGGGAAACGTTTTAATAATTATAGTTTATAGCCATTAGAAGATTTTTACAAAGACCTGCATTTTATGAAGAAGTATTCAAGGCTGCAAATAATTAAAGTATAATAAAACATATACATATTATAGTGGATATACTTTCAAGGAAAGGTTAAAGATGGTATTCAACGTAAGAACAATAAATATAAAATTGATTTGAGTAACCAAACCATAGATTAAATATGTTATTATATTAAAACTGAACAAAGGCTTAGCATGAGATTTTATATTTTGTATTAAATAATTTCTTTTAGAAGAATTTGGGAAGTAAATTATAAATGGCGAACTTTACTATGCAATTATTTGTATAAAATATTTAATTTATATTTATATCGTGTATTAAAATATTCTGCAAAATAACACTCATTAATTAATAAAACAGCACTCACTGGGTTTGTTAAAATTCCAGTTTTAAGTTCGTATAATTATGCGTATGGCTCGTATAACTTCAGATTTTAAGATTACACAATAAAAATAATTACTTCGTTCGTACATTCCAGTTCTTAAAAACCTTATTAATAATTCTTATACAACAATATTTCCATGACTATTTACAAATTTATAATAATATTTAACACTTTATAATATACAATTATTTAATGCACCATCAATTTTAAAGTATAGCAAATTAATTTAACCAATAATTTAATTATTATTTTAACATCTCAATTTATTTATAAACACAGCCTTGCTAGCTATTTTTGGATTTAATAAACAGCAATAATTGCTTTTTAACAATGTAATATTATAATTTTTAAGAAATAATACACGGTACAAATTATACAATTGCTATAATAATTCTGTGAATATTATTCACATTATTATTAATTATTATTAAACATAAAATGTATTATTCAACTAATTAAATAATATAACAAGTATTTTTTCGTATTTAATAATAATATAATTAATTGGACTAACACTTATTAATAAGAAATATTAACAATATTATTTAGACTAAAAATGAATATTATTATAAATTTAGTTTGTAAATATTTACAAACAAATTACTATTGTAACTATTTACAATGAATTAATCTAAGTAATCAGTCTATGTTAACAGTATAATTTCTTATATAATTTTGTTATTATAAGGGTTTATTATTGTTACTATTTATGCTATCAAAGTCAAAATAAGTGAATATTTCCTGAAGACGTATCAAAAGAATAAAGTAAAATTTTTGATATAGGTTAACATAATTTTGTCTTTATTTTTCTAAAAAAATTAGGCTCTATGTGCTATTAAATTTAATTTGATATTTTTTTTCTATTAGTATGGTACTCCAGATTATTAAAATATCCTGAGTATTTCCCAAATTACCATTTAATCCACTAAAAATAGAAATATACTGACAAAAAATGTATTTGAAGTATTTATTGATCGCATAAATAATGATAATAATACACGCTTCATATAACAATCTATTATTTAATTGCAATAATATATTAATTCATATACATTGGAACAGTTACATTTCATTGCATTCAATTCCATTACTGTTCGTAAAATTCGGAGAATTAAAAGCTAAATTGATTGTTGTTTATTTATAATATTCGTTTTGTATAGTGAATTTATTTCTTCGAAATGAAATTATGTGCAACCATCATTATGGATTTTTTATAAACGCCGGGAGATCAATCAATCAAGTGGACAATTAGTAAATAATAATAAATTAATATAAATAATATTTAATTAATGACTAATTTTTATACAAATTATAAATACAGTCATGTAGAAATCGAAATAAGTTTAATATACTAACTATACATGACTACTAATATATGACTGCATGGTTGATGCGGTGGCTGGGCTGACTGCCGTGCAATGTGTCCCGGGTTCAATTCCCGCACGGAACAATACTTTGTGTGATCTACAAATTGTTGTTTCGGGTCTAGGTGTCATGAGTATGTGAACTTGTATGTTTGTAAACGCACCCACGACACAGGAGATTATACCAATGTGGGGCAACGTTTTTAAAAAAAATATAACATACCTATCAGCAGATTTAAGTTTTAACATACGCTCCGTACAAAATGTCCTGTAAAATTCTATTTTAAGCCAAATTTAATTTATATCGACACTTATTGAAGCTGGTCATAAACGAATCGTCACCTACGCTCACAAATAAAGTCCTTAACATATTAGGTATTCCATATAAAACCAAATGAGATATAATTATAACAGAATGGCTGAATCTGTACTCAAAACACACAGCTGACACTCTATTAAGCCGTTTATATTATCAGAATTGGAACCGTAGGATTGGCTAGTCGTTTGCAATAAAACCAACCCACGCACTTAATGGCACAAAATGAAAGCATTATTCATAAAACACGGATTCGTTAATGTATGGAGTACTCAGTGACAGTTTTAGATGGTGTTTCGATTTTGTACTTCGTGGTCGAAAATGATGGGTGGTTTATTGAAAAATGTTAGTCGTGTTCACAGTTATGGTGTTCTTTTTTAAAGTATAATTAAATGACATACTAGTTATAACAAGTCATACTATAAACATATATATGCAATAAATATGCAAGTTTTGATATTATCTGTAAAAAGAAACCAATACTGCTGAAGAAAAACGGACTCCATTTCTTTGCAAACTAAAATTTAATTTTTTTTTAATTTACTCCTACGTCGCAAAAAATCGTCCTGTATCTGTATCTGTACAATCAACGTATGGACAATTCTTTATATTACCTTAAATTCCGTTCCAATTGCTTCAACCCTGATATTATCTAATTACCGTATTTTACGTACAAATGATTACTTCTACATTATAAGTAGGCGTTACAGCTATCTTATTGACGTTCCACTGTATCTCTGTAGGAGTTGGAGGAAGAATTGGAGTAGTAGTACCATTATTGTTGGGAAGCACGTTTCTGTTGCTGCACCTGTTGAAGATATATTCGAATGAAAATCGTGACTAAATAGAGAATTTTTGAATTGTTTTTGTTAATTTTGATAAATGTTGTTATTATTCGATGTATGTCATTCATTCCACACTATTTTTATATGTTTTATTGTTTACTGGTAAAATAAACATTATTGAAGATAAAATAGAGTTTAGGAGAGATATAGCACAGAATAATTGAATATGGCCATATTTGTTACACTTCTTATATTCGTGTTTTCTTTCCACACCACGATCTTCTAATACTAAAGAAAATTGTGCAAAATGAACCTTATAATATTACAGTTTAGTTTTTCTCCCAAATTACCTGTAAAACTTCTGCCTAAAGCTGAAGCAGGGTTGGCACTTCGCTCCCGTAACACTATCGTATGACTTGTCGATCTCCAAACGTCGAAAATTGACGCTTCACATCTGCAAGAGAAAATACCATATAAGAAATGGTCTTTAATCAACAATACAGTAATTATTATATTTTTCGGCATATTCACGTTAATATTTGACGAGGAACTCGACTAGTGTCAAACCATGCTAGAGGCAAATTCGCGGAATGTTGGTCTCTAGCATGGCTTGAAACTAGCCAAGTTCCTTGTCAAATAATTACGTAAGTAAGCCGATTAAACATATTAATTAGTTTAGTATGTCTCTCGAAAGTTATAAGATAAAAAATACAGCAATGCAAATTTAGGGATTCTCTCTTAATACCTACTAGGAGTAGGCTTAAAAGAATTGATTACCTTTTTTAATAAGATAATGATATAATAGCAGTATCTTACCGTATCATGAGTGTAGGCACTGGGGAATGTACGGCGGCTTCCAACTCCAGCGTCGCTAAACTGGATGCGTAGCCATTGCTATAGTTGAGCACATGGTTTGCTGTGAAGCCGGGAACCTGGAAATAAAACAAAAATTAGCAACATGACCATGGTAGTAGAACTTAAAATGAATGCATGTAAATTTTTATTGCCCTAGATCGTAACAAAATTATACTTATAATTGTTTGTTTGTGCAAAACGCTTTAGGTTTCAGTATGATTGGAAAAGAGCAACCTATGTCGTTTCTTGCTCATTCTTCTCCATAGGTTGCTACACTATAGCTATCACTAGAGGACTGACCGACAGACTGTAATTTTTTAAATATTTCAATATTTTGTTTTGTTTTTCAAAATTGTCTTGAACAAATGATTTTGACTTTGACTTTGACTTAGGTCATGTGTACTTTTGTAGTGAATAGTTGTACTTTTGGTGTTTAGACTATGATGCACGCAAACCATGAAGATTTGGTGCCAATAAGAACGTAACAAAATCCTTGAATTAATTGGCAAAATGCAGCCAAAAATTTTCCAATTTACAATTTCTCACACTTACACGACTTTACTCTCTGTACCCAATCATAATCAGTGACCCAAACGGACAAGCTGACGTCATTGACTCACCATTTGTTCGTTGACGTACCACGTGATGTTGGCAGCGGGTAGTGACGGCGGTGATGAACAGTTTGCCCTTATGTGGTCACCGCCGATGTACGAGATACGATCTGACGTCACATTTGGACTTGTTAGAGGCGGTTCTGTTGGAGAAATGGGAATTAAACATGTTGTTTATTATAATCAGAGTTAGTAATTGAGTTAAAGACTATCATCTTAATTATGTTCATGAAGAACTGGTGGCAAAAATATTCTTAAGCTAACTAATATATATGTTTTTTATCTTTATTTTTAAAAACGTTGCCCCACATTATGATTTTCTCCTATAACGTGGGTGCGTTTACAAACATACAAGTTCCCATACACAATGACACCCAGACCCGAAACAATAATGTGTGGATCACACAAAGTGTTGTTCCGTGCAGGAATCGAACCCGCGACACGTTGCACGGCAGCCGGTTGACCAGCCACCGCTCCAACCGTGCAGTCATTTGATGATATTTGAAGCATGTTTTGCCACAGCCATGTTTATTTTAACTTTAACTTTAACTCGTCGAGTACCGTCATTATAGACACAATTATAGAACAATAGGTTGCGGTCACCGGTGACCGCTTGGTGTTTGACAGTTTAATGTACCTACATTAAGAGCCTAGCATAGCGTATTTTGTTAAAGGCCTAAACAGAGTAACTACCAAAGAGCTCTGCTTTCGATCACGAATATTTGTTTGTATTAGTTAGAAATAAAGCTGGTTTAATCGAACAACAAATATTAACTAAAAATTACGAGTTACCCACGTAAATATACTACGAAAAGTTCTACTAGTTTCGAGTCACAGAGGACCTCGTTGCCCCACTCTAGGATTTTCTCCTGTGTCGTGGATGCGTTTACAAACGAACAAGTTCACATATACATGACACCCAGACCCGAAACAACAATCTGCGGATCACATAAAGAATAGTTCCGTGCGGGAACAACCCGAGACACGTTGCGCGGCAGCCAGTTGCCCAGCCACCGCACCAACCGTGCAGTCAATTCTCTTACGATAGTTATTATAAAAACAAAACAACAATTATTTTATTGACCTTCGTAATGGAAGTCAGTATGCAGAAGTCCTCAATTGAAGCATGCTTTCGTGCTTGATATTAGGATGTGTAACATCACTTTTACTCTGGAATTGATTTTACAGCAGACGATTTGACAAACATATAAACTTATATACTATACTAGCTGATCCGGCAAACTTCGTACCGCCTAAAATATTTTTCTCACCTTTTAAACCTTCCCTAGACTTCCACGAACCTATCAAGACCAAAATTAGCCAAATCAGTTCAGCCGTTCTCGAGTTTCAGCGAGACTAACGAACAGAAATTAATTTTTATTTATATAGATATAAGTTTGATATCGCCTTTTATCCCCGAAGGGGTAGGCAGAGGTACACATTATACCACTGTACAATTACTGTATAGCTGTACAGAACAATGTAACACTCACTTTTCACTATTTATGTTATGAGTCCCATGTAATAGAGGGTGAGCCTATTGTCATAAACCGGGCACAATTACAGACTCCGTGCTACGACTGACATTTTTTTTTAAACCCAGTAATACTTTGCCCGACCAGGGAATCGAACTCGAGACCCCTTGCCCGGCAGTCGCACTTGCGAACACTTGGCCAACGAGGCAGTCAAACTTATACTTTTTTATTTTAGGTTTCATCCCATTAAATCATTAAAAAAATGCTTGGAGTAGTCCGTAATACTTAATATTTTATGTAGGTATGTATGCTATATTCACCCGGAAAAATTCAAACAAAACACTAACTCTATAGAAACATATTTACCACTCGTCTACGGTTACATGTAAAGGGATTCAATTTTAAAAAAAATCTAAAACAAATTTATTGACAAAAACAACCCTCTGCCATTGGAATAGGAGCTCGTTTCATTTTTGTCGACAGAACGCCATCTGTATTGTGAATATGCAATATTTCTGCTAACCTAATAAAAGATTCTGCGAAAGGGTTTGAGGCAGATGGTGACCGGTCCAACCTTTCTGACGGATTAGATGCCTTTGTTTGAAAACTAAATAATTTTCAAAGTGGATTGGAGTACGAAGGGATATTTGTTTTCATAGATTTTTTGTTTTTATCATAACAGATCTTCGAGTGCTTTGTAAACACACAATCGGACACTGAGCAACCAGCTATGTAATAGAAGAATCGTGAAAAGTCCGTTTGGTATAACACAATACAGGAAGTTTTTAAGGAAAACGTAAATGGATTTCTAAAACGACATGTGACGATTATATAAAGCTGAACAATTGTAGAAAAAAATTAAGTATTAGTAGACGGATATGCATGTATGTCCAATAGCGGATTGATCAATGTTGAACACTAAAAATTCAGACAATTTTAATTAGGTATGCATTTATAGTATTGGCGATTCCAGCACAGCAAAAAAGGCCAAAAGACTAAGTATTTAAAAAATCTCATTACACACAATGTAAACGAATATAAAAAGTTACACAATTAATAAAATCGGTACGATTTAAAAGTTTACCAAACTTATCTCTTAGGCCTGTTTAAATAGGACAGAAAATCGTCCATCAAAAGAGTTTACGCCTGGAATTGCCAGATTAGCAGAAGGACCTAATTAAACAAAGTAAAACGAAATGAACCTTATTAAATAAATAACAGGGTACCTTTTACAACCTCCCCCGAAATGGTGGCAAATTATTCAGACGAACTAAGGGGGAATTTAAAAGAAAATTTGGTTTACAAGACATTAACCCTATATTTGGCGTTGGAGAAAACATTGCAATTTATTTATGTAAATTCTAAATGGAGGACTTTAGCATCTGTTTTCGTAAAAAATTAAAGGAGCGAATTAAAATGTTGAGATTTTAACAGCTGCTCGGATTAGCAGTAGGCTTGAAGAATTTGTTGTCACCTTGAGACTTTGTTACAACGTTGTCGAGGATTATGGCCAAAGAAAAATTACCGAGCGAGACTAAAAATGCAATGTTTTTAATAGTAAATTATGTTGTATAGTCAAAAATGTAGTTCATGGCAACTCTCCTTTGTTATTAAGCCTTAGTTATAAAACTTTAGGAAGTCTCCCTTATTATGACATTGTACCAAAATTTATAAAAGAGCACGATGCAATGTCTAATGCAAGATATTAATTACCGACTTCAAAAATAGGAGGAGGTACTATGTTCGGCTGATTGTTTTTTTTTGTTTGTTCACCGGTTACTCCGCCATTTGTGAACCGATTTCCAAAATTCTTGTTTTATTTGAAAGGGTATACTCCCGAAATGGTCCCATTTCCATGAGTTCAGGATCTGATGATGAAATCTTAAGGAAACCAAAAATTAAAAAGCCGAGTAATGCGTCTATTATGTATTTCAATTAGGATCTTTAATCACTACAATTTTTAAATCCATTTTGAGTTTTTAAGTTTTTACTAAATACCAGATTTAACTTATCAAGTTAATCATTCTCATAGCTATCAAAAATTTTCAGCAAAACGATTCACGTCTCTCGGTGTAAACCTTGTTCTAAACCGTTCATTACTTGTCGCGGAGAACCTAACGGGTAACCGGGGCTCCGACTCGACGTGCAGGAGAAGGAACGGGGTGGTTTTTAGTCAGTAAGACACTCTGACACTCCCTCCCGCCTCACCCAGGCGGGAGCAGTCATTCGATGATTTTCCCCCCTTAAAAAAAACCGTTCATTACTTACTTGCTGTTATCTGCTACTTCGTACGCGTAAAATATGAATTTTAGAATATTCACAGACATTCCAATTTTATTTATCTGTATAGATGTTATTCTCTTCATTACCTCTATATTTAACCAGCGACCCGTCCTGGTTTCGCACGGGTGAAATTTGCATGTATTATGCATATAAACCTACCTTAACAATCACCCAATCTATTAAAAAAACCGCATCAAATTCCGTTGCGTAGTGACATAAGCATACATACGGACAGACAGACGGCGGATCGGACGGCGACTTTGTTTCATACTACGTAGTGATTCCAGGAATAAAATTACGGGGCCCAGTAGAGCTGATGCCCGATACGTAGCCGCGGAAGGCCTAACGGGTTGTTGGGGCTCCGGCTCGATGACCGGGAGTAGGAACGTAGTGGTTTTTAGTCAGTAAGTCTGACAACCAAAGGCGGGAAAAGTCATTGGATGATTTTCCCCCTTAAAAAAAAGGAATAAAATTATAATTAGTGTTTTTTCTAAGATTTGTTTCGGTAACTCACCGACTACTACCATCATAGCAGCTTTGATGTCCGTATGGAAGAGAGGCGCGTCGGCTGACACCTCACACTGATACTCTCCTGTCAATGTACGGTCTACTTCTGTTAGTACCACCCTGTTCTGGTCTGAAGCTGCTACCTGGAATAGAAAGTTCTTTTTAATGACTTCTTGTAATAGGGATGATGAGAGAGTATGAAAATTAAAAATCTAATTACTCCGTGATAAAAAAATATTGGACTTGTATTTTTTTTTTATTTTGTCGTATAAGAACAATACTTAGATAAAACGAGTCAAAACATAGGAGTGGGAGCTAACTAGGTCATTTTTTAGTATAAAACGTACACAAAAGTGACGTCATCGGAAGTATTTTGTTTCCCTAAGATAATAAAAAAAACGTGTGTAATGTTTTAAAATAATCTACCAGACGGACATTAAAACAAAAAATAGTCATCTACCCTATTCGAAGTACTTATAGGCACAATAACAATTAACATTTTTTTCATTATTACCATCTCCAATATGGGCCAAGACGTCCTCTGCCTAACATATACCTCCCAATGACTTTCAGAATAATCTGTTACAATATTTTTTAAGGTATTGTTAAATAATCTGTTTACATTGAATGAAGTATTGTATCATACACATAACATATACCAGTAATATTAGCTATCCAATATTTATCCAAATTCTCAACGTTTTTGACACGTACATAACATCACGCCCTTATCCCCGAAGGGGTAGGCAGAGGTGCACATTACAACACTTAATGCCACTGTACAATGGAACATCCACTTTTTACTATTCATGTTATTAGTCCCATGTAATAGGGACTGAACCTAGACTCCATGTTAATGCTGAGATTTTTTTTAAAAGCAAAATAATACTTTGCCTGAACTGGGAATCGAACCCGAGACTCCTTGCCCGGCAGTTGCACTTGCGATCATTAACGAGATAACGTTTTTGTGACCTAAATTCATGACGTCACATATCCATGAAAAAGAACATAGTTTAGCAATATCTCAATGACTATTTTAGGAGAAATTGAACCCTACACGTACCCGTATTACCATTCATAATCGTTTGGAGAAAAATATTCAAAAAATACTCACATCAACCTTAATTTCAGCTACAGGAAATACTTTAGTCGCAGGCGACTCTTTGGGAACATATCTATAAAATTCAATCATATTTCTATACCATCTTATAGAATACAATTGTGCACCTTCCAGTTCGTATGTACACATTAGTTCTGCGTCGTAGCCTGTTAGCACTGCTGTTGGCACGTGAATCTGCAGTGACTTTAATGAATTCACTGTTCCTGTGGACAAAAGAAAAATTTATATAAATAAATGTAAGGTATTTTTAAAGGAGTTTAACATACATCTTGTTTAAACTTTAACAATTTTGAGCCAAACCCTGAAAAACAATTTGTAGACCAAACACCAATATTTAGTAGATACAAATTATAATTCTTTGATACAAGGGTAATAATTCCATTATTAAATACGCTTAAAAACCGGCTTTATCGCCCTCTTTTTTTTAGTCGATGCAGTATAACCTTCATCATAAAACCTATTCTTAAGTATACCAGACATTTTTTTGAATACCGCATCAAAATCGGTACATCCAATCGCGAGAAAATTGCGCACAAACATCCATACATACAGGTCAAATTCAGAACCTCTTTCTTTTTTTGAAATCCAGACACGTTGTTTATCAGCCTTATATTTAGACAGTCAGGCACAAACTGTGCATTAAATATTTACTCTATAGGAATTGGCAGATGAAAAGACCATCTTTTACGAAAAGTACGTAACTTCTTATGTATTTATTATAAGCCAACGAGCCAGCTAAACAGAAATAAGAAATTAACTAAATAAAGAAACTTTTTACAAGTATTGTCAAGGAAATAACCAACCTTAATTTTTAGATTATAATCAAAGGGAAACGGAGGGAAGAGGCAAAAATGAAAAGTATGACGGGAGGACATTGTCAAACTTAATAATGATGGCGGTCGTAATAGGCAATTTATACTCATTGTCACTCCTCCGACACTACGAACAAAAGTTAATAACTAACTCCAAAGTACTGGGAACGAAGAAAAGTGTTCTCTCTTACTTTTGAGTTTTCAAGGTCAAACAAAATTGGAGTTGTGGACAAACTTTTTTGTTCGTTTGTTTGTCTGTTTCAATGACTGAGATGTTTCGTTACTTATTGGAGTAGCTTTTTTCTTTGCTTGGTTTAAAATTGGTATCGGTACGATATTTTATTTTCGGAACCAGAATCTAATAATTTACTTAACTCGTTAACTAAAAATCGCGGGTTATTCACGTGAACATTCTGAGAAAAACTCTACTAGTTTCGATGTAAGTTGCGCGACATCGCCGCGACAACGCTCGCTGTTTATGAGGAAGAGCCCCTCTATGACTCGAAACTAGTAGAGCTTTTGTCAGTATATTCACATGAGTAACCCGCGATATTTAGTTTATTTAGTAGTACTCGTGATGTTTAGAATTGATAATTATACATGACTTTTATTTGTTTTTTTGAGATCATAGCACACATCATCTGCCCATAAATGCCAATGCTGAGTAGGAATGAGCATTAAGTTACCTACTTCTCTTGCTTAAGGCGGACTGGTCATTTCAATCTATGACCTCATGCCTTGGAAGAGAAAGAACAAACATGATATCGTTGTGAAAAAAAAGCATATATACAGTCGAATTGAGAACCTCCTCCTTTTTTGAAGTCGATTAAAAAGTAGTGATTTTTTTCTATTTTTATCTCTAAAATCAAGTGAATACTGGTCGATTAAAGTCTCAGCTACTAAAAGATTTCACCATAAAAAGCGAGAACGATAAAAATGAAAATCTTCTCAAGATTCCAAAACAGCAATTGACCCAGAAACATACCGCATATTAGAATGTAAACAAGCACTATGTTTTAACGTACGATGTTTAGTTAAAATTTCAAATAGCAGAACACTTCTTTGCTTCTAGGTACCAGGAGAGCAGCCGTTCAAGGAACATCATAAGATTTTACGACAGCGCTCGTACAGTACATTTTTACCTTGAGCACACTTGGAGGTGCGTCAAGTAAATACCCAGTTTATGACAGCTCGTTAGAAGTTCGGCTATAACGCTAAACGACGTCCCTGCTGTTATCGTGGCTTTTTGCTCTCGAAATCTGCCACTTAATACTTCTTCAACTTATTATTGCCTGGTAGTTTGCGTTCGTATTTAGTATGGGAATTTATGCGAAGCTGTTTGTAATAAAATGGATTGGATGTCGGGAAGTCTGTTGAGGAAATTGACTGTACCGATTTTCGCCGTAATCAAGTAAATATTTTTTATTAACATATGTATAGGTTTATTGCGTAGTTAAAATATTGTTGTCTATATACAAAGGTAAAAGATAGGTGCTAAGATACTTTTATTCAGATTGTACCAAACCGCTAGTAGGTATACTCTAAAAATCATATAAAAACCATCTGTTGTAAGGGCGAACGATCAATCGCCTTCAAAACGCGAATTCCAGCCTTACGGGTGATAGTAACCAGTTTCTTCAAATTTTATCGCTACAAAAATGAAATATGGACCATACATTTACGTTTCCAACTCAGGTTTAAGATATTCATATCAGAAATCGCAGTTAAGCGTATCCCAGCATTGAAGCATGATATTTTAAGCAGCGATTTTTATATTCAACATGGTATTGCGCCAAACAGCATGGCAAACAAAGATAAAAGCTTTTTAAATCTCCAAATTTATGGTTTGTTTGTGCAAACGGAATACTATTTTGGTAAATCCTAGCGTTTGGACCGATATTATTTTAATATCGGGTGGAGGTGCGAATGTATTTTGTGCTGAATCACGTCCATGATCGTCGTGTTTTGTTTTTGTATAGTTTTCTTCTGAGATAATGTTAGTGGAAGTTCTTGTACCAACCATTAACTCTTTTTTGTAATATAGAGGGAATAATAAGTTTCTTTAATCTATATCTATACTAAAATTATAAAGAGGAAAGATTTGTACCTATTTTTGTATGTTTGTATGTTTGTGATGAATAGGCTCAAAATGTACTGGGCCGATTTAAAAAATTCTTTCACCAATAGAATGCTACATTCTTTCGATTTGACATAGGCTACATTTCATTTTGAAAAAAAAAAATAGGGTTCTTTGGTAAAATTTGAACAATTTAACCGAAGGTGTAGAAAAATTTGTCTTTCGTCGAATGCGCAGCCGAAACTATTAGCGATAGAACAAAATAATGTACAACAATTTTGAAGAATATCATAATCTACAAAAAACTCCGCGTTAGCATATGTCCAACTATTGTAGTTATGTCACTACAACAATCCAAATTTCCAGAAATAAATAATTGTCTACCCCGGGCGAAGCCGGGACGGGCAGCTAGTACTATATAAATTTATTATGAAAGCTATATGTCCTTAATCGATGACTATGGACAGGGCAGCAACATTTCCAAATAGTTGTGTATATAGAAAGCCTATCTGTGATCCCCAAACCTATCAAACGTGAGTATTATGACAAACTCCTTCAAAATTATAAAATAAGTTCTTATTCACCCCTTTAAAAATAACACTTCAATTTAAACAACTTAAACCATAATTTCCTATTCACCAATCAATGAGAATGATTTGGTGGAAATTTGCTCCCATTTTGAGGCTAATACAAGCTGATTCGACATGCCACCGCCGATGACTGCGTCTGACAGTTGACGGGGACGAAGTTCGACGGCTGCCACTGCCTACATCGACGTCACTAGCAAAGTGCCTTCCGCCTTCAACCGTACTACGTCATCGGGTGTATTATATTAGTAGGTATGTCTTATATTTTGATAGATGCCTGTGGCTTGTGATAGTGATTGACTGTGTTATTGATTTATATGTTAAGTGAATAGTGTGTGATAAACTTTACAGAGGTAGTTTAGAGTAAATATTTGGCCCAGTGGTCGTAAGTGTGACTGCCGGGCAAGGGGTCTCGGGTTCGATTCCCGGGTCAGGCAAAGTATTACTGGGTTTTTAAATATTTTCAGTAGTTGCACGAAGTCTGGAATTATGCCCGGTATATGGCAATAGACTCACCCCCTATTACATGTGACTCATAATATACATAGTGAAAAGTGGGTGTTACATTGTACAGTGGTATAATGTGCACCCCTGCCTACCCCTTCGGGGATAAAAGGCGTGATGTTATGTATGTATGTAACCCATGAGATAAATCCTAGTGTGGGGCGATTTGTTAAAACAAAGAGAGCTTTTAACCCATAAATCCCCAAGCGGTCACCGGTGACCGCTTTCCACTAATATTACATTACATTATAGACCTTTTTTTCTAATGTTTAGAGACTACTTTTGTATGACCAAATTTAGGGGGTGGATTTCAACGGGTACGGTTAGGAAAAAGGGCACATTTCAATGTAACACCCACCTTTTACAAGATCATGTTATGGGTCCCATGTAATAGGGAGTGAGCTTAGTCTTAATTACTGAGTACAATTTCTGACTCCGTGCTATTTGATCTGGGACAATTTTTTTATGGCATGAGCCGGTAAACGAGCAGACGGATCACCTGATGGTAAGCAATCGGCGTCGCCCATGGACACCCGGAACACCAGAACCGTTACAAGTGCGTTACCGGCTTTTTGGGGATTAGGAGTTTAAGGATCGTTGGGGATTCAGGGAATGGGGAGATAGTATAAATCCTAATAATCTTTTGACCTACCTACCGGCACTCTAACTTGGAACCACCAAGCCTAACATGACAGTCAACATTGTAACTAACTTAGAAACAAAATCAAACCACATATACCACGCCCAATTCTAACGCGGCACAAATTACTACAAACAGGGGGAAGCTATTAAAACAAAATAAAAGCGAAACACTACGGGCGCATTCAGTGATCTGTAAAGGACCGATACTGTTCAACATGGAACACTATCGTTAAATTTACGCGTTTACAATCTATATATATAAAAGAAAGTCGTGTTAGTTACACTATTTATAACTCAAGAACGGCTATATCGATTTGGATGAAAATTGGTGGGGCCGTAGCTTAGAACCAGGAGCCGGACATAGGATACTTTTTACCCAATACTTAATTTTTACTTTTAACCGAAAATTAAGAACGGCTACGGGAAATATCGGGATTGCGCGTACGAAGTCGCGGGCAGAAGCTAGTGTGAAATAAATACCGGAACATAGATTAGATAGCATCCAGATAAGTCGAGGAACTTTTTCGTCTGGTTTTACAATTCGTTCGTGTATTTTAGTTTTAAATTTTTTTATCTTGATT